TCGATGGTTGCGTGAAAGGGAAGATTCCCTTGGCGCGTGTCACCCTCAAAGGATTTAACCGACATGATATAACCACTGGTGCGTGTTTTGGGTGGTCTTTTAAACTTCTGTATTTCATACTTTGTTGCTGAACCAATTTTTGACTTGGTCCAAATCATTTTGTATATGTTACAGAAAATTAAAATTATACTTCAACAATAATTATTAAATTTTAAAAAAATATTTTCAAACTCACATTATTCTCATATTGTAAATAATCATCTTTTGTTGCTAGAGGTGCTGTTGTACAGACCCAACACTCCATATATATTTTTACTCTTCATAATAACTTCAAATCCACGCAATCGTTTACCCAATTCTTTCCACGCCACAAAGAAAGAAATAATACCAAAATCTCCATTTTTTGGCTAAATTATCTGTCCAAGATTATCCAATAGGAAATAAAAAAATAGTATGGCTGTTGGATATTCAAAAAGCTTCTTATTGCTTTCACTTTAAATATAATAACTCTTAAAGCTGTAATTGTTTGAAGATTCTTGCATCATTTTTTCTTTTTACTTACTTTTGTTCAAGGTGAGAAGATAAATTTGAAAACTTTGTAACAATATCCAGAGTAATTAATGCTTCTCTATTTTTATTATTACTTCTCAGAAGCATACCAACTTCTTCAAACACCTCTTTCAGCATTTAAAAATAAATTATATTCCATGTTAACATGTACATTCAGCACCATCAATTTTCACTTAAGATAATAAATGGCTACAAGTGGCAATTAATAACACAATAATATTGATATTAAAAAAAAAAAATTACAGAATGATAAATATTGAAATAGTAACAGGTATAAAATGAAAAAAAAAGGTGATGCATGAATAGCTTAATTATCTTTGTTTTTCTTCAATTAAACTGATAGAAAACGATTAGAATAGAAGAGAGTAAATATGAGGATAAGATCAAGAACTTTGTATTTGAAATTCCAGTTTCGTGTTTAAATGATAATATTTTCTCGCGTGCAGTTCTCACCTTCGTTATGGAATATGAGACTGGTTGCGCGAGAATTAGCAAAGCCACTAAATTGTAGAAAATACTCTGCATGATTATATATTCCAACACTTCAAGGTGTAGCACATCTGCTATAGGGTATGCATCTAGATGATTTTTTTCCTTTTACACCTAACCCTGGGGGGGTGAATCTCGATAGAGTTATTTTTTATCTTGCTATCTCGTTTGCTCTTAAGTATGAAGAGGTGCTAGTGTATACAATTAGATGAGCTGAGGTAATATGTGAGTAATACAGAGATCGTTAGTTGGAGATTACTCAAGGATGTGTAGCATGGATCTGAACACATCAAGGCCTTCAATCATCTTAAATGCTTCCTTCTAGTGTCTGATTTTCACCCATTAAATTGTAATTAACCATGGGTTAGGTAAAATAACTGGTAAATTTTCAATCCTTTTTGTTTACCAAGCCACATTCAATGACCATTTGGTGGAGATTCTTTTTTCGTTTGCTTTTAGAGGAACGTGGCCAAGGTGTGTGATTATTGGAGATGATGTTGGAATATTTCGGCTGAGTTGTTTGTTTCTGATTATTGAAGTGGATTTTTCATTAAATCCTAAATAGTAAAATACACGGCTTCATCAGGTTATGGTGTTCTCTGCTGGTTGTTTGTTTTAAGGTAACTAATTGTATTTGATAGTTGGTTATGATAATAATCCACTTGTTGACATGGTTAAGATAGTTGTAACAGCTATCTAGATAGTTATAATAGCTTTCCAGATAATTAGAGTAAGCATGAGGATTGCTGTGACACCAATCTACTTCTGCTACCTGGAGAAAATTAACTTAGATCTGGTCAGATCAGTATTATGAGTCAATCCAGATCTGATCACATGTTTTTAGATTCAAATATTTAGATTTTCTTAGAACTGATCAGATATAATATATTAATTCAGATGTAAACAGATTAAAGTTCTTCAGATCTGAAGAAAAGTACATCATTTTCGTTAAAAAAAAAAATCAGATATGAGAAAAACTGATCATTCTTGTAAAGAATATGATAAAAATAAATAGCCGCAGTCATAAAAATAGATGATTTAAAAATAGTATCTCAAATTTTCTAGGTTAGCATAGTGGTGACCCATCCAATTCTTCGGTCACGAAGGTTCCAGGATCGAATCTACCTGAGTTTCATTGCTTTTACCTCAAAAGTTCTTTTCAACACTACATCTAAATCATAATTATGGCATTAAAATATTTATTTAATAATAAGATTTAAATTTGGGTACTTTACTTTTAATTTCTGATTCAAAACAAATTTTAATTAACAATATTGATATTAATAATAATTTAATTTAATTAATATTATTGATATTAATAATAAAAAAAATCCTAACCTTTTAATTGAATGTATTTTGTTAAGAAACAAAAAAAATAAATAACCGAAAAGAATGATAAATAATTATAATAAAGAAAAAAAATTAGCCTGACCCGATTACTCATCATTCTAATAATTTCTTAATAATTCCAATTAGACTAAAAAAATTTCTCTTCACCTCAATCTGAATGATCGCACAAAAAATCGTTGAAAAAAGGTCCGAAAATGACACGAGCCATTAAATAAATGGTTTTAAAAAATCGAATAGACGAAGAATTTAGAGTGAATAGAAGAGTTTATTGTCTTAAATTTCGTTTAATCTATACATTGAGTCTATTTTTAAAATTGACCAAAGTAGTAGGCGAATATGATTGAGGGATTCATTGGAAACTATTATGACGATTTAGACCACGCGACGTATTTAACCATTTTAGGTTATAATACAGGACATTGAGTATTTTAGGACTAGAATAGATATTTTGCGTGTTTATAGTTGTCCCATCTACTCAGTAAGCATTAAGAATCGTCCTCGCGATTCAGTTAAATAATAGTTATATAGTAGATGAAGGATATTTTGTAGAAATAAATACTAGTTTCGATGATACTTGTGTATGTTAATCTAAATGTGGGGGCGCGCTACACGTTATGCGTTTAACCTTTTAAATATGAGGGATTTTTGAGAAATCACTCTTCAACAAAATCATCTAAACTCACGAACAATCATTAGTTCATTACGGAAAACTGTTTTAGTTCGAAGGACATACCGGAACAAAATTATCTTTCTGCACCACACTATCTAAAATATAGTATTATGTTGTATAAGAAGAAAGACCTTGCGATTCTTTCACGAAAGGTTGTGTCCAATGCTTATTTTATTGTAAAAAATTTGATTTTGTATCAAAAAGGTCACTAATTATATCTTTGGCGTACGCTGATATACGCCAATTATTTCCTTTTTGAGGTGCCATTTTTTTTTGAAGGTTATAAATGTTTGGGTTGAACTTGAAGACCAAAAAAAAAAATAACAAGTGGTCACATATGTCCACTATTTTGGACACCACTTGAAAAACTAGAAAATATTAGTAATTCTTTAAAAGCTATTTTGTCAGATCTTTTTTTTCTAACCTCATTATCTCTATTATTGGATTTATTTTCTTGAACAAAGAAGAATAATTCTGTGAGTTTGATAATAATTAAAAATCAGTGGAAATGAATCTAAAAAATGTTATCCAGTGTTAATATTCAAGTTTGCGTGATGAATCTATCAGGAATCTTTAAAAAAAAAAAAAAAAACTCACTCGTGCTTAATTTCAACCACGCGATATCTACTCCATTCTCTATATTTAATATATGAAGAAGTACAAAAGATATTCATCACAAAAATGATCCTTCATTTCTTTTTTACATCAAACTCATCCAACTCTATAATTATCTCATCCTTAATAACATTGGAACGTCTAAGTCGCTCCTTTGGTGCTTATATTTATAGAGAAACGAAGAATTTATGATGCATCTTGATGCACACTTTTTGAATATACGTCACGATGATAGGAAGATCCTCAAGGTACGATTTGGGACAGATTCAGGCGCGTGGCTGGCACACGACGTTCAAGACATTGCTTGGAAGACGTTCAATTAGCTGTCGCATCTGCCAAATAGGCTGTAAGCCTATGATCAATTCTGATTCCTGATGGTGATGGTGGTGGTGGTAGTGATGATGCTAAATAATGATCGGGAGACACAAAGTAATGTTAAATATCACATCATCGTTCGATTGGATCACCAATTTTTTGATGTTACAAGCTTTAGGTAATCCTTATTCGTGATTTGATGCGTTTAGATACATGAAGCAGGTGAAATTTAATCGTCCACTCTGTCCCCTTGCAGGCAAACTCAAATTTACTCCAGCATTTTGAGGAAATAAAAATTCAAGTAGACCAGGTCATAATGAAGTCCCAATTCCAAGTAATAGTTGGACAGAGATTATTGAGCTGATAGATCTTGGGGATTATACTTGATAGCCTAGAGGTTTCAGAAGCTCCTGGGAAACTCCATCATGTTGATCGAAAAGTTATTTCATCGTGATTCAGTGCAATTTCATGTATTATTCATGATAGACTGAGTTTATGTGGTTTCATTGATTTATAATGTCATGGAATTTATTGCCATCGTTTACGTTTAAACTATAATGATGCTTGATGAAAGTAAATAGTAAATATTGGCATAATAGTTGACAATTATCACCATTTCCAGTTAACGATAATTAATTTGATAATTTTTATGCTAAAAAAAAAAACTTATAACAATTACGCATTGTTATTTTAATTTGATTACTTTCGATTGTTCTTAAAGAGTAAATACTTCAGCAAATAATAAATACTTTGGAGATCAATGAAAGAAATGAAAGAAAAAAGTCTGAATGATGATAATTACTCATAATTAAATAATTACCATTTTTTTTTTTTTCTGTAGCAACAAGAAAAAAGAAATGATAATGAATTAAAATGGTGGATAATTAAATAAACGAATTAATGAACAAGTATACAAGTATCATAATTGATTAATTGAAAAATGTGTCAAGATGCCAATGTGTCTTGCTGTCTCACCAACATCTCTTCTAAAGCCGGACGGACCTGATCGTGTTATTGGGTAATTGGCTATCGGATCGGATACCCGATCGTTGGCAAGACCATTGAGCTCAGCTGAGTTAAACATAATCGCGACACCTTGTCAGTATAAAGTATATATACCATACCATACATGTATTATACGTTCACTTCAAATTACATGAACGCGAGCTCGATAATTATTATCTTTAACAAATATGTACTTTGCTGTGGTAAAGACTCGACCTATCGATACATCATTTTTACTTATCTTCCCCTTCTATTTCTATCTCATCTGCGGTTATATTCAATCAGTTTTTGTATGTAATAAAAACAATAATAATAAGGGAAAAGACCGCACGATTTGCTCGACATTAAAAATCAATTTAGGTTAGGTAAACATCAGTTGGAGTATTGATTCCAAATTTTGATTAACTTGGACCTAAAGAAGCATCATCACTTGTTCAACTTTCTCAGGTATTTTTAATCATGTTTTATTAATAAATAAACAATTATTTATCTTAAATTCTTGCTTTTTTTTCTTTTTTTACTCTAGGGGCTATCAGTGCGTATAAAATCGACCAAGAAAAACGCTCAAGGAGGCACGTGCCTTGAAGGTTTAAAAGATGAAGGATTAGAGGTAGGTAGTCGGTTTCTATATACACTTAAGTCTTGTTTTTTTTTTTTCTTTTCTTTCTTTTATTCCAAACAATAAAGCTGAAACTATTTACTACAAGAACCTTACTTGCAGGTGCAAAGATCACTTCGACATCAACTAAAAGTGAACAACTTCTTCTCAGTAATCAAAGTATTTCCTCTTGTTGACTACTGAAACTAAACCAAACTATGTGCTCAAGCAGGTGCACAAGTTTTCCACGAGTGTGGAAAGCTTTCATCAAAGATAAAGAAACGAGCCTTTAAAAGGGATTATGACCTTTAATCTTAATTATAGTGGAGTTAATTATGACTTTGTGAATTTGAATGAGATATTTTATGTCTTTTTTTTTTGCTGACAAATGTTTTATCATTTTTTATATCAATTGAGATAATGAGAAATTAGGATTTTTTTTTTTCTATTTTAAGACTGATGAAGATTAGTCTAGCATTATTCTTTTAGCTTATTAGAGTTGTTTTGAAAATAATTCTAAGATAAATAAGTCATTAAAGAAAATACGGAGAAAAAATTAATTTATGCAAACAAAAGAAAAATAAAATCATTGCACAATTTAAGAATTTAAAATTGAAAAATGGAATATATATAAAAAAATGATAATTAATTAATTATAATATTATGTATTATTTAAAGTGCAAAACGCAATCTTCAAAATAATCATTGACTTTAATAAATTTACTTTCACATAGTTAATGAGATGGTCGTCCAACGTTTCACTGTATTTATGTTGATGCAGTAGCTTTCCAGCTAAATATAATTCCACCTTCTATACATATATATCAAATAATAAATAATATCATAAATATCTAATGGAATGGTTCCGTAATTATTGTTAATTATATCTTTCGTCTAAATATCAATTAATAATATTACAGTCATGAAGAAATTTTTTGATTACATAAATAATCATTATAATTTCTTCTAAAATATATCAATTTTTTTCTCATTTTCATTATTATTAAATATTATTTATTATTTATTATATTTTATATTAAATTTTAAAATATATTTTAGAAAGATTAGTGATTAAAAATTAATTAATTAGGTAAAATAATGTTTATAAAATTTTTTAAATTAATTTATCTAATATTAGATGGCTATTTTCTTTCTCTTTTCTTTATAAAGTTTTTTGCGTAGCCAAAAATTAATATTAATTACTTTTATTTAATATTTAATTGTAAAACACTGGTGGGTGATTCCAACTTTCTCATTATTTTTTTTCAAAATACTTTTTTTTTTTAAATTAAATATTATTTATTTTTAATAAAATTCCTTAAAGGATGAAATTTATATTTAAATAAATAAATAAATAACAGGAAGTGATTCATTGGAGGATCCTCTACTCAGTTACCGATAGAACAAAAACCTCGAACAATTACTTAATTTTAAATAACAATCAATTGTAAATCACCTTAATAAGAATAAAAATTTATTTAAATTATAAAAAATAGTTACTTTAAAATAAATAATTTAAAATAAGTAAATAATAATTTTAAAAAGTTAAATAATTATTATATTTATCAATAAATTTTGTTAATCATTAATTATTGTTTGAATAATACTATTTTTATTATTTATAAAAAATCTTTCATTGCAATAATTAATGCACTTGCATAAAACGACATGAAAAAATGTCCATTTTGTTTTTAAAAATAATTAATTGCAGATTTTTGAAATATTTTTGTTAATAATTACTAATTCATAATATCTAGAAATGATTTGAACCAAATATTCCCAAGAATTAGGGACACATATAATAGAGGTAATTTTTAAAAAATTTCGTTCAAATGAACTACAATTAGTTGAGTAGTAATAAATAAAATGATTATAATTATAATTATTATTATTATTATTATTATTATTATTATTATTATTATTATTATTATTATTATTATTATTATTATTATTATTATTATTGTGATAAAAAATAATAAATCAGGTGGTGTTACTTAGTAGAAAACCTTTGAAACGGCTGGCCAATTTTGATACTCATAATGCGAACACGCAATGTAAAAGTTTCCAATTATGATTGCCAAGCACGCAGTTTAATTTGTTCATTTTCAATTAAGAAGATGCGAAAGGACTGACATGTCTAATCGAGATGTCTTATAGAGCAGAATTAAGTGGATCCACCCTAGAGTAATATTCCATCAGATTAATAATTTTTTTTAAAAGAATATTTTCAAGTAAAGGAACATTGAAGAATAACTAAATTACAGGTACATGAGAAATGACGTTTTTTAATTTATTCTTCATCATTTTTAAATTTCCTTTTTTTTTGTTTATTAATTTTAATTCTAATTTTTGTAGCGAATATTGAGGCTGAATATTACGTGCGTCCGTGAAGATATGACGCCTGGGATATAGCGAGTACGATTAATCACTCAAAAGTGCCGGTTATCTAGATCTACTGAGGAAAAGGACGGCATACATGCAATGGAATTAAACACGCAGATATTAATAATATTACACGCGTTGTATATAAGTGGATTATGATTGTCATATGGTTGATCAATGCATGTACATTGAATTACAGTGAGGATGTGCATTGATTTTGAAAATTATTGTGAAATCTTTTTTCTTGCTAGTTATTCGTCTAAAAATTATTTAAACCTCTTTATAACTACAAGTTCTTTTATCATTAATTTATTGTTTCATTTAAACCAAAGCTAGGACATTATTGATTCATTCTTTATCATCATCAGCATCAAATTTTATCATTAGTCTAGTAGAAACCAAGACTGGTACAATTTTTGGATCAACACCAGACCAAGTCCAGTGTTGGACCAAAACTGTCCTGGTTTCTATTAGGGCAAAAAAATTTTTCCAACTTGATAAATGGATTTTATATCAATAATTAAGTAGTCCAGGTCTAATTGGAGATGATCTCCAGCAAATAGAGCCATTGAATGCAACCAGTAATGGCTGTTTATCAATTATTGAAGAGTCTAACTGAAGTTGGAGATGATCTCCACCAAATAGCACTCTTTAATATCAGTAAAAAAAATTTTTACACTTGGGTAACTTTATATTACTGTTATTTTGATGCTAAGAATCAATTTTGCAAACTTATTAGCAAAAAATTCCAATAAAATTTTTTTTTACCGAACAAAAAGCATTTTAATTCTTGCGAAATGCTATCTAAAGTTATAGACCAAATGAATTCTCTACAATATAATATTTTAATGAACTCATGAAATTACATAAAAAAAGCTGCGATTGGGAAGGAAATAGAGATAATTAATATCGCGAATAGTGAGTAATGTGTAGTGCTTATATGACAAGACTATTGTAAAAGTGAACACGCTCTCACTTTAAGACCATCCAAGCAGTTTACCAACAACTCAAGTACTAGTATACACATTTGATGTCTACACTCCAACCATGCTATTACAACAGGCCATGATTTTCAAGATAGACTCGTACCATTTCCGGGAATATTTCGGAAATAATCTATTTTTTGTACATCATCATTTTACACTAGACTATTAACAAACGTCCACATTTTAAACTGGTTTTTCAAGATTAAAATATTACTTTTTATCTTTCAATTTTGACTTCTACTTTCGCCAGAAATACATTTTATTAAGCATGACAGTCAATTTTATTACATGTCATTGTAGCAAAATTATACAATAAAAAAATATTTCGAAGTGAAATCGAGTATTTTGTCTACCAAGACATATAGATAATAGAAAATAATAAATCTTACATCATTTTGTTACGATTTCCTATTTTTTAAACTTTTATTTTTATCATAAATAATATCTACTTAAAATTGTCATTATATATTTTGCAATAATTATTAAATATTTATTATTATAAAATAATAAAACTCCTAATTAAAAAAAAAAACCCAATTAAATATTTCAGCAACTTTTTTTTTATTTATTACTAAATAAATAATTTTTAATAATTAAATAATCTTCTAAATGCAAGCAATTAGAAGGTAATTGAAATTATTCCTAACTAAAGTAATGAATTTTTAAACAAAAATTCCGTTAGTAAGATAAACTAAGAAAAAAAAATATTCATCTATAAATAATTAAATAAATTTACCATCAGTCCGTTTAATTTATTCCTTTTTTTTTTTTTTTTAAATTAATTGATTCCTGATGTTTACATGAATTAGAACAACTCTATATACTTGATTTATATTTGATAAAACAGATCCTCATTAGAATTATTGCGGAACTGCTGGCGTATATAGTAAGAAGGTTTATTACACTCTCTTAGCTATGTACCCATGAAGTTATTTTTTTTAGCAAATACATAGAGAAGTATTTGCAAGTATAACTATATATAACATTAACGATGAAGTATAGGGAAAGTGCCAAGCTATTATACCGTGCGGTATATAAAGCTGGGCGTAGAAAACGAAGCGTTTCAGTCAGTGGTTAAACGCCACGCTAAAACACACGTAAGCCCGCAGGATGAAAATGAAGGTGAGTTAGTAATCATTCAACTGTAGTTTATCATTCATTATTTTCTGCATCAACAAGCATCAACTTGATATTTCTAGTTGGAGAAAATCATAATAGAAAGTTTTATATTTGATACGAATGGTTCTCTTGAGCTAAAGTGTTACAATTCATCAGAAAACATTCCAAAAGTCTAGAGTAAAATAGCTAATAGTTGATGAAACAATTTCAGATCGTGTTAACGTTGCTGTTGCTGACTGTCTCCCAGTCATCCTGGGTGTCTTGTGGAGAGTCAGTGAAAGAATCAACTGATAAAGTATCATCAGCATCAGACACTGATTCATCAAGTACCGAGAAGAAGACCGAAAAACGTGGACTTCATGGTAGTTATGGAGATCTTGGTAGCTACGGTGGTGGATATGGTCATGGACATGAAGAGCATGTCAAGACAGTGACGATAGAGAAGAAGGTACCAGTACCTTATGAGGTGACAAAACATGTTCCATACTTGGTGGAAAAACCAGTACCTTATGAGGTTAAAGTTGGAGTACCACAACCCTACACCGTTGAGAAACATGTACCTTATCCAGTGAAGGTGTTTGTGAAGGTTCCAGTACCAGTGCCTCAACCTTACACCGTTGAAAAGAAAATTCCATATGAGGTTAAAGTACCTGTTGATAAACCATATGAAGTCAAAGTTTACGTTCCACAACCCTACACCGTAGAGAAGCACGTTCCTGTACCAGTTAAAGTACCAGTACCACAACCTTACACTGTTGAAAAGCACGTGCCTTATCCAGTAAAGGTTAAAATACCAGTGCCAGCACCATATCCAGTTGAAAAACATGTTCCATATGAAGTTAAAGTTCCTGTTGATCGACCTTATCCAGTTCATGTACCTAAACCATATCCAGTAACTGTTGAAAAACCTTATCCAGTTCCTGTTGATAAACCTGTCCCTTATGAGGTTAAAGTACCCGTTGAAAAACCATATCCTGTTCCAGTTGAAAAACCATATCCTGTACCAGTTAAAGTACCCGTTCCTCAACCCTACACCGTTCACAAACCCGTTCCTGTGCCAGTGGAGAAACCTGTGCCTTATCCAGTCAAAGTCCCTGTTGATCGACCTTATTTAGTCGAAAAAGAAGTACCTGTTCCTGTTGAAAAGGAAGTTCCAGTACCTGTCAAAGTCCCTGTACCTGTTCCTGTCCACGTTCATCATGAACATCATCATCATCATGAAAGTCATGGTGGCTTTGAACCCTCTACTGGATTTGGCCATGGTGATGGTGGATATGGAGGACATGACTTTGGTCATCATTAGACAATTGTTGGGTGGTTAGGTATTGTAAATTGTTTATTCCTTTTTTTTTTCCATTTCTTGTTAATTCTTTCAAATATTTTTTTTTTCCTTTATGTGTGATAATACTTCTACTTAGGCTAAATTGTTCTTTCCCTCCCCTAGACTCTTTCACCAATATCTCTATCTATTTTTTACTGATTATAATTCCAAATAATTCAAATGATTTATATTTTTCTATTTTATATTAATATTTTACACAAAATAATGTAACGTAAAGAAAAGAATAATAATAATTCATGATTTATTTTTAAATAAATCCTGTCTTTTTAGATTGGCTACTGATTCATTTATCATTGACCTGACCTAGCATATTAATCAATATAATAAACATGATAATTAATAACAAGTTATTAAAAGATATATAAATAAATGAAAAATAATGCCGATTAATTTGACAGTTTAAATTGAAGGGAAAAGTGAATGTTTTCACTCATTCAAAACTGGATTTCCGGGTACTTTCGATTCACGAGAATCTCAAGTATTACCAGTATGTAATTAAGGGGATTAAGTTTGTGTAAAGTCATAGAGGACCTCATGAAAGTATTGCTTTCACCCGAAGTTTCTAGATCCATGTGTGCACTTCTCTTTTTCACATCCACCAGGCGTGAAAAATCATCACAACATGATCTCTTCTTTCCTTTTTCTTTTTTTCTATTACCATTATTGAATTAATTATTTTTTTTTTATTCGAATTTTCTTTCAATTATTATTCATCACTAGACCAAAGTCTTATGTCATCTAATAATAAACAAAAGATCTAATTAATTAATGTTAGTTGAATGAGTATAATTATCTTCATCATCACCAGCAAGAGAGCAATGATAGATCAATGAACAGGAAAACCAGTTATTGGAACCAGCTTCTTATTTTTTTGCATTAAATATAACTGATTATTGTGCGGAAATGTAAATCATTTATCAGCAATATCTTTAACATATCCGGTGTTAATTCTTTAACTATTGAACAACACCCTTTCACTAGTCAATGGTAGAATTGATAGGAAAAATATTCAAAGCTTTCAAGATCAATTTATCATCAATGGAATGTGCTAATATGCTTGCACTTTTTGAAAAATAGATAAGCAAGGAAATTCTAGACTTTGAAAGTCTGAATGTTGATCAGAATATTTCAATAAACAATAAAATAATGAAGATTTCTTTACCCCTACTGTTGATGATTAAAGATAAAATAGTTATCAAGAAATAATTGAAATATTAATGATGAATAGTTGACCAATGTCTCAAGACATATGGTTTTGTGAAAGTAATAAATAAAAAATAAAAATAGTGACAATCTTACGAAGCGTAAATTATAATAACTGTATATGTAAGTAAGTATCCACGGTAAATAAGCATACTTCCGGTTTTCTATCAACCATTCTAGTCCTAATAATAAGGAAGTTAACGTCCGTTTGTATCTATTCTTTCTTTTGTAATCTGATTTTAACTTAGACGGTATATATTCTATTGCCCCTTATCCCATAAATAATCCAGTTAAACGAGAAAATTTCGTAACTCAGTCATTAGAGATTTATCATCTAGATAATTATGTTGGGCGATTAATTATAGACAGGTGGGTGTGTATATGAGATGAAATATTTTTGTTTTTAATTTAGATATAAAATTAATTTTTCTATATTAGAATTATTAATCTAAGGTATTTTGTTTCTAAAATAGAAACTTCTTTATACTTTTAAATAATCATTTTTATGATTAAAATAAATTGTGATAGATAACTATTGATGTTAATAAATAAACCTAATTTATTATTAAAAATAAAAAAATATTTGTTCATGCTCGAAGAGCGTTTCTGTTGATCATTGGGGTAGTTGCATTACTCGGGCGCAACTGTGAAGCGAAAGCAATTATCGTAGCGAAACTTGAACGCGAGTGTTGGCGTCTGATACGATGGGTCGGGTCCCGGGGGATTCTCAGGGACTTGAACAGGACTATCCCAACCGCTGTCGTTAATTACAAAGTCCTCCCAACCTCTCTCCACTTCACCATCTCCTTATTCCCCTATTGCGGTACAATCTCTGATCGCATTCTCGTCTTTCTCTTTCCTCCTCTTGATCCTTTATTCACTTTCTCAATCTTCCAAATATAATTACTGTATCCAGACGTCAATTGAGAACAATATTTGAATTAAAATAATTCATTTTCAATAATTTATTATCAGTAAGTTAAAATAAAGAATTTAATGTTACTCGAGAAAAAAGAAATATTATTAAATATAATAAACTTTTGATTGTATTAAAAGGAATAAAAGATTTGTTGGAGAAAGAGTAAGAGAGATGCGTTGGTGAGAATCCAGGCGAATCGTAGTAGGATTGAACGCTTGAAATGGAATAATATCCAATAATCTGGCACAGTAGTGAGAGAGGTTGGGATAAAAAGGGATGTGTTATCGGGACATCACAGCGTCAGCAGAAGCCATTTCTGACTCGCTTTTCTGACACCGCCACTTCTCTCACCGTCAAAATTAATTATTGATTTCGGATATGAGTAATACTAAAAGTTCTGCCTGGGTAATCGAAAGCGAACCGGTCCGTCACCTCAAACCATACTTCCATGTCACATTTATATCATTGACGCCTACATTTATTTTTTTTTTCTCGACCTTTTTTTTTTCACCCAGTTACGTATCAGCAACTTTTATCACAATATTTATAGTTGCTTATTTAGTTATTAAATTAATTAAATAACAAAATAGGGCTGTTGTCATAATAGTTTAATTACTTTTCATGCAAAAAGTAGCATGCTGTTACATGCATAAATGAAAGTGCATTGTTGGAGACCCTACCGATTAGCAGGAATAAAGCAGGATCAATAGCACAATTGCAAGGATGTAGAAGGCATAGGGAATGGTGAGGAACTGCTACCAGGGCGTGATCTACTCCGACTTCTACGTCTAGAAGATCCTCCTCTTGATGACACTTCAAGACTTTCTATTATCTAAACGTAAAGTGAAACCTTAATGAGATAATTATTAACGTGACTTGGTTGGTATTATGTAAGGAAAGGAAACTCCTTAAAAACAGTAAAAAAAAAAAGATAAATTGTCTTCATTCACTTAGTTGTTTACTTGGTAAATATTTATGTATGAAAAATGGCTGAAAACACTTTCACTTAGTTGTTCAACATGATAGTGAACACAATATTAATATCTTCATCACATACAGCAACATATTTTTAAAATATTCATCGCCTTTTAAATCATTTATTTATATCGAAATAATAATTAAGCAATGTCCTTAATCACCTCTTGCAATTCTTCTTTTGTGTACATATGATACATTGATTCAGGTGTCATTGTCATCAATTCCACATTGGTTTCATTCAACTTCTCCTCCATGACTTGTTTTAATATGGTCAAAGCTGATTTAATTGCTTCCTTCAACGTCATTGACTGCAAAATAATTCAATAATTAGTTAATTGCTGTTAATTTACTTTCCAATAATTAATTACATCAATTACATACCTTGTGATAAACTTCCTGAAGTGATTGCTGAGCACCTTCACTACCAGAGCCAATAGCTTTAGCATCAAATTGTACAAATGTACCTGATGGATCCATGTGAAATAGCTGCGGTCCTTTTTCATCAATACCAGCAAAGAGAATCGCTACTCCAAAAGGTCTAGACATCGCACTTCCGTCATCATCACTATCACCAAATTGAATAGCAAGATTGGAGACCGCTTGGGCTACAGACTCGACACTCATCTTCTCGTTGTAGATGAACCAGTGATTCTGACATTCAGCACGAGCACGATCAATCATCATTCTGGAGTCAGCCATTAGACCAGATCCAGCACAACCAATGTGTTTATCAACTTCAACTATTTTTTCAATAGTTGTTGGCTCCATCAGTGGTGATGTGATACGTCGTTCAGCTGCCAAAACTACTCCTTCACATGTTGAAATGCCGATAACTGTCGATCCAAGTTTGATTGCTTCAATCGCGTATTCTACTTGGAATAATCGACCTTCTGGAGAAAAGGTGTTGACTCCACGATCGTATTCTGAGCGTGTCAAAAACATCTGAAATAACAATTATTATTTTTTAGATTGTAAATTGCTGTAACATAAGTGTCTGACAACAAATAAATGTAAAGTCATGAACAATAATATTTAAGGTTAGTTGGACTTGTGACAATATTGCTGTTTTTTAGGTTAAAAATCAAATAGACTTTTATTTAAAAATAATTAAATGTTGTGACTGATAGTAAATTAAATGAAATTGTAAAAAGTTTATGCTAAAGTAAAATTTTTTTTGAGTAGAATGGTTTAGTTGTTCGGTGTCACTCGGTTTTTATGAATTAAAGGTCGACAGACGGAAATTTTAATAGTAAATAATATTTGTTTTTACCTTGGACAATTATTTGTTGATATTAATGCACTTAATTATAAAAAATATCGTTTATTAATTAACAAATGCTAGTCATGTAGTGAATTGCAGAAATACACTGTATGGTTACCGGAACGCCATATTGGATAAATTTAAAGATGGCGGTTAGTAGGCGGCAAAAATTCGAAAAAAGGGGTTTTTTAATTAGATATTAAAATTAAATTAATTTTTGAAACAAATTAATGCAAAAATTGTGAATTAATTCAATAAAAGATAAAATAAATATATTCTATATAATTAAAATTGAGTAAAATCAGAGTTTTATTACGAAAAAACAATCCCACAATTTTTCCCTCGGTCGGTAAAGATGGGAAACAGTTTGTGTTGACATTTTCCATGGATTCCATGTGCTCTTGAATTGAGAATAATTACAAACAAATATTGAATAACAAAAAAATTATTAAAATGAAGAGAAGTTGATAGAAAAGATTATAAACACGTGAATAAATTATTAAGGTTAACAATGATTAGTTTAAACGAACTAAATGACATCACTGACAATAAAAACTGGAATGAATTAAAAAACATAATAAAGCCAAAAGAATTCCCGTTGGATGAAAAAAGGTAGATACTCAATGTCATTAATTAATCTAAAATTTATAACGAATTAATTTTTTAATTCTTCCTATTGTATAAAATTTAAATACAAATACTTAATGTCTAATAACCTCAACTCTAATGTTTTATTCACCTCTCTTAACTTTCAGAAATAAAGTGGACAGACAAATAATAGCTAAGCTCGCAGATATATTAATAAACAATATAAAAAACCTGCCAGATAATGTAATTATTCTCATCCTCAAATGTATGACCAACTCAAGTACTGATCTAGGTTATAAACATCAACAATTATCACAATATAACCGCGATCAAGAGGACTCTTTTTGTAATTTTTTTATCAAATATTCTACTAATAATGATCAGTATCCTTCAACTACTTTTCCTTATGATGAAGTTATTCAAGAAGTCGTTCAATTTTTAATAAAAATCCCTGCTGAATATCAACAATCAAAAATTACTGATACCAAGTTGGAGCTTATCAGAATCTCATTGAGGTTTTTGTGTAATATTATGGCTTTTAGTGATAAAAAATTAGCCATAAACAATCTAGATCAATTAATCGAAACCATAAGGTAAGATAATAAAATTATAACCTCTAAAATTCATTTATAATTAATATTAATATTTTTTTTAGTTACTTAATGGACTTGGACTGTATTAAAGAAAATATTCCATTGATGAATGCCACCTGTTCTTTCATCAACAATATTCTAAATACTTTTGACAATGTCCAGATTCTAGAGAGCCAGTTAAAAGTTATATCCCTAGGTATTTTGAAAGCTGATAAGCTTGGGGTAGGAGCTTCAAGAGATGCTTTGATATGTTTAATTATCAAACCTAGTGTTTTGAGAACAATCTATGAATCCATGTCAATGGATTATAAATTATATCTTCTAGAAATAATTCATCAAAGTCTTATGGCATCTGTTTATGATGAAACAGATGATGATGAAGATAATAAATTCAAATTACCTGAATGTTCTGTCGAATTTTTATCAGAGAAGTTTAAGAAACGAAGTGATTTAATTTTAAAGACTGAAGAATTTTATTTAGATGGTATGGAACCTTCTGAAGTCATCATTCTGCTTGATATTCTAGGCATTTTGACTTCCACAAGCAGTTCAGCTTATCAAAGTTTAAGAAAAGACAAAAGCCTACTGATAAATGTGATCTGTAAGTGTCTTATCTTTTATTCATCACCTTTGTAAAATAAATTCATTCATGTGTCTTCAATTTTTATTACAGTTTTACTAAAAGCAGTCCATATGACAGGCAAAGAAAACCAAAACTGCTTTACACCGATTCAGAAATTAAGTGAATTAGCTCCAAGCTCTTATCAAAACGATGAAGATAGTTTAGATAAGGATTATCTACGGCATCCAACATTTGGCTTCAAAACTGCTTTAATTCGATTAATTGGCAATCTTGTCTATAATAATAAAGTGAACCAGGACTTGGTGAGCACAAAAATTTATTTTAAAATCATAAAACTACTTTTAAAAATAGCGCCAATACTCGGATGATAAAATAGATATACTTATTACCGATCATCAAGTCTAGCCGCTGGCGCCACGATCGACGGAATCAAGAACTAAACAATAAGCGCGAAATTTTGAAAATGTAAAATTTTTTATTCCGTTTTTTTCACTGTTTAGATCCGCGAAACTGATGGAATATCATTACTTCTCGACTGTTGTAATATTGACGCACGAAATCCTTGTATCCTTTATAAATATTAATTATGAAAAATATTTTAAAATTATTAATGAATGATAATTTTCCTTAATAAAAAATTATTAAAACAGTAATAACGCAGTGGAGTATTTTAGCAATCAGAAATTTGACGGAAAATAATCCAGAGAATCAAGAATTTATAAAAAGGAGTCAGAAGTTGAAATTTATTGATAGCACAGTTATTCGCGAAATGGGATTGACATTAAATCAAACAGAAAGTGGAGAAATTCTTGGTATCGTTCCATTACCAAAGGATCAATAAATAATAAACAGTAAAAATGAAATAAGCAAGACTTGATGAATTTAATTAATAAATAAATTAATAATTATTATTATAAAGTCATCAGAATAATTTCTTTTAGAGACAGTAATTTGATGAATCAATCGAGAACTCAGCGTTTAATTAGATAACTAATAGGTTGAAGACCATTTGGAGAATAATTATCTATTCGTGTTGGTCAAGTAAATGATGCTTGGATATTTTACGAAGTATAATAATATGTTTGACATGGATAACTTATAGACTAATGGAGCGAATCGATCGAAGGTGGAATTATTGAATAGAAGTTTTATGATATCTAGATTCACTCAACCATGATAAATAAAAGTTTGACGAATTATATTCATGATAATCAAGAAAATTTTTTCATTCTTGCTCTTATTTTTACTTAGCTAATGAGCTACTAATTATCTCTTTCCTACCAAGAGTAACATTAAATAATAAATCCAACTCCAAGATGTAGGATTTAATTACCTCTATAAAAATTCAATTGTCACTTTGGTTTAAAGAATTTCAAAACAAGCTATGTGGTGTCCAAGAAAATGTACAAGACTTAGTTGTAATTGAGGGAAAATTCCAGCTTAACTATGATCATCATTAGGTTGATGATCATAAGCAATCAGAAAGTATATCTCACATTTAATTTGAATATCAAGCTTGATCAGGTGATCAATCACGTGTGACTGTAAACGATCGTATGATTACCTCAAAATTTATCAGCTAATTATACGTGAGATTAATAACCAGGGATAATTGCCAAGTTGAAGATGTTTTGCCTTCGTGGTTGGTAAAGTGAAGAGAATGACATCCAGCTATCTTTTTCTTCATCATAGTAGACCAACCACCACCTGACTCTGCTAACTGCAACATGATAAAAAAAGAAGAGGATTGGTAGAAAAAAAAAAAAAATTAATAAATAATAAATATATTAAAAAAAAATCTGTCAGTTTCATCATATTATTCCAGATACTAAGATAAAAATTATCACCGGTCGTTTAATTACAGAGAGAAGCAGACCAGACTGCAGGAGGGTCTTTGTAAATCGACGAAAATTATTAATCATCTTCCGCATGTTGCACACACACTCTTATAAAATATTCCTTATGGAATCCTCATCTTCTCGTTCGTTCGTTCGTTCTTCTTTCATCCAATTCATTAATATTCATACTCGTTTTGCGCAGAGACAACTTTTTCTAAAGAGAAATATTTCCACATCGCGAGAGAACTCGATTTAGAAATCATTTTTCTATGACCCAATCTTTTTATTTTTTTTTTTTTTTCATGTATATATATTTAATATTTAGACCTTTTTATCATTTTAATTAATATTTATACTTATTAATTGCTGCTAAATAAATTGTACCTCATTTATTATATCACAAAGATTAGTGAATTATTTTTTGATGTTAGAGCATGCTTTCTGTTGGTGTAGATCATTTTTAAAAATATTGAAGTTGAATTCTTCATCATGTAATTAAATTAAAACATTGATATATTATAGGATTAATGACAGATTATTTAAATTAGGTAGAAAATGATGATTTTAATTTAAAATATTAGATAATTAATTGATGTTGGTGAAAAAAAAAAAATTATTATTCAAACAAATAAATCAGTATTTTTGTTTTTTTTTTATTATTATCAATTAAAACTATTGAATAAAAAGCAATAATCTTTTAATTATTTTAAGATATTTCAATTTAAAGAATATTAAGCTAAGATCTGTACCTTTCTTGATCAATGATGAATACTAACAAGACTTAATCACTGTTTAATTCATCAATAAATCAAGCAATTAAGGTGCTTGTAATTAGCAGACTATTAGCATAGGATTTATTTATTACTTGATGGTCTTTGATGTTGAGGGTTGATACCGAAATTTGAATGAAAAAAATTATTTCATGTTGAAATGCTAATGAAAGTGGGCTAAGGAGGATGGATGCATGATGATGATGATATGAGGTTCAATACAATGTGGCTTTAAAGAGTATTTTAATAGCAACAGGCACTGCTCGATATGCTCATGCCATACCTGGTGCTCTCTGATGCCATTGGAAATATATTACCAGGCGGTACTTTGAGACAAGTTTAAGCGTAGGCGCGTACCAAGACGCGATTCAAAGAGGGATACCAAGACTTATTAGGTACCGGCCCTCATTTTACCACTATTAATTCGAGAACTTGAACGATTTAACTCGAATAAAATAAAAATATGAATATGACAATCCAATATTATTCCTTCTTTTTTTTTGTATTTTGATATGATAAAGCTCTGACATGATAACAAGCTTATTTAAATTTACTTGGTATTTTTTTTAGAAGGGAATTATTTATTTGTTATTATTATTTTTTGTGATAATTTATAAGGGATGTCATTTTTTTATCCCACCTCTATTGCCTTATTTAGCAATGAATGAGCATGTTATTGATGGCTTCTGATGAAAAATATTATCCTAGGAATTTATTTAGAGACTTTTGAGTTGGACATTGGATCCTTTGTGCTAAAAATCATCAACTATTGGACCTCAATAATTTTTTCTAACTCCTTGATTACCTTATTTTGCTTTAGATGAAGGTATAATTGATGTTTGATAACAAAAAAAACATTCAAAATATTTATTTAATCATTTTTGAGCTAGGAATTGGACTCTTGTGCTAAAAATAATCAATTTTAGGAGCTTAATAGTGTTATCTAAGTAGAAAAAAATTTTTTCTCCCTCTTGTTCTTTCATTTTATTGTAGATAAATATATAATTGATAGGTATTAATAAAAAAAATCATCCAAGGTATTTATTTAGAAGCTTTTGAGCTAGGAATTGGATCCTTTGGGCTAAAAAATCATCAACTATTAAACCTCAATAATTTTTACAGCCAGGTAAGAATATCATACTTTTCTCTCACGGTTAATAATGTGCTATTATTATTTTTTTTTTTAAATACTAGTCACTTTTGGAGTAAAGAAATGTGCTAGATGTATTAAGATGTAATACCACCTACCCAAAGCTACACTTTCCAGCTATACTTTGGATAATCATTACAACTAAACAAAACTTTTTCTTTATTTAATATTAAGAATACTTATCCAAAAAGATTAAATATCAATTTTTCAATGCATTTTTTTTAATTAAATAGTTGTGTGTTTGATGTAGAGTTAAAAAATGATGTTGGATACCTTGGTGTTGGTATTGGATTATTTTCTAGAACTCAATAAAGTTCTTAATATTTTTATCTCATGTTTGTTTATCTTCATTTTTATAACATCGAAATAATTACCCGACTTATCAAAGGTACAAATAGTAATAAGACCTCGTTAATATTTTTCAACATTGTTTCTCATTCGCAACAGGTTGATTTTATACCCGAAAACGATTCATAAATTATTCATGGAGCTTTCGGCAATCGATTTAGTAATTTTTAACAGGCATTTTACTCTTCCTTTAGTATGTCATGAAAATTTTTTTAACCACATATAATGAAATCTGGATGATTCTTATATTATAAAGGTTCACATCGTATGTTTTATTATTTCCTTTTTTTTTTTTTTCGACATCTCTGATGGTGGGCATTATCTTTACGACCTCGAAACGCAGGTCGGAAGAGTCAGCGCCTGCGCTAAGTTGAACACCAAAGAAAGGAGAAACCTGTTATCAGAACTTGGTGCTTGTACCTAAAGTAATAACTATCAGTGTCGTATTAAAATTTTAATTCATCAACAAAAAATTTTTTTATCCGATTTTATATTGTTCTTACTGATGATTTATTTAATTGACATTTCCTCCTGGTTCCGGTATGAAAAGAGAGACAGATTTTATCGAGAAAATCGGTATTTTTATGATTCAGAAACTCTTCTTAAGGTAATGTAAATAATTATCTTTTATTTTATCTAAACCAATGTCACGTCATTTGGCTTCCATGCGTTTTTTTATTTAAAATAAAAATTAAAAAATTGATACAAGAATTGATAATTGAATATTAATTTATTTTTTAACGAATCAAAATTAATTTTTTAATTAAAAATATAAAAGAAGAGAGATAAAATTTTGATTAGGTGTCATCCCTGATTTCAATTAGTGATGAACTTTTCCCAAGGGATTTTTGGCGCAAATTCGCCATATTATTTTTGTATGGGGGGATTTAATGATTTTAAAAGAATAATTATTTAGATGTCTTTTAAATAAATAATGACCTCACATAAATAAATTATTCAAAAATAATTATTAATCATTTTTATAATTAAACATCAGAACAATTTCATTATATACAAAGTAGTGGATGTTTATAATAATGAAAGAATAAAAATTAGATGGCAATTTTATAGCAGAATTGAAGAAGAAATGATTTTAATTATGGTCGTAAATATTTTTTTTATTTTAAATAATTTGTAATAAAACTGAAGAGAAGTGCAAGATGGTTTTAATGACCATTCCAAGTTATTTTTCTGTCATAAATCCACAAAGATACAAATGTAGAAACAGCTAATTTTGGTGGTGTTATAGACGAGGATTCTAGATGTTGATGATGATGATGATGATGATTTTTGTTTGTCAATTTTTTCTGTTGGGCTTTCTGCGAGTGAATTCTCGAGAGGATAAACCGCAAAGGCGAAACAATTTTAAAGGAGTGAACGAAACTGAATCCCTTAGATGGACTGAAAGGAGCTCTTAAAGTGCCGCGGTCTTTCGATAATTAGAGAGCGGCTATTGTTACCTTCACCAGTAAAAGGGAGAATGAGTAACACGCGGGGTAAGAAGAGAGCGCGAAAACAGACAGATTAAAAAATAAAAGTGATGAGAATTGTTGGTAGTTAGATGCCAAAAGTGAATTTGGAAAAAAATGTCTAGGGTATGTCAGGTTGATGATGTTCACATGTCTTGATGAAAACACTTCAGAGATTGGTAGAGACACTTTTTGACTACAGAACCCTAATTAATCCTGACAGGAATTAATCTATGGGTGGAGATACACACTTTGCTGTGGATAAACATGTAATTGATGTCTTCTAGTGGAAAATATTATCCCAAGAATTTAGTTAGTGGCTAGGAATTGGACCTTTTTGCTAAACGACATCAACTTTTGGAGCTCGATTATTTTTTTTAGGTGGAAATAATTTTTTCTAACACCTCCATTACTTTATTTAGCAACGAATAAACATGTTATTGATGTCTTCTGATGGAAAATATTATCCTAGGAATTTATTTAGGGATTTTTGAGCCAGAAATTGGACCCTTTCTGCTAAAAGCCATCAGGCTATGGAGCTCCATAATGTTTTCTAGATGGAAATAATGTTTTTTCTCACCTCTATCACCTCGTTCCCAACTAACTCAACCATTTAATATCCTTCAAAACAAAAAA